CAGCTACTGTGTCTATAGATGTGGTGGTGGTTGAGAGCACAGCTGACATCCAGACTCAGTTCAGACATGTGCCCACAAAGGACGATGGCTTCTCTAATTTAAACCTGTATCTGCTGATCGGCATCGTGTCGGTGTCAATCATCTTTCTGCTGAGCCTCATCACTTTAATAGCTGTCAAATGCCACAGGACAGACAGCAGCTTCAGCAGGTACAGCGCCCCAATGATCACCACCCACCCTGACGGGAGCTGGTCTTACTCTAAAGCTACTCAGCAGTATGATGTCTGCTTCAGCTCAGACACGCTCAAGAGTGACGTAGTGGTTTTCCCCGGACCGTTTCCGCCTGTAGATGGGGAGCTGATCAGTATTAACGGAGGAGACACTTATAACAGGACTCAGACTTTACCTAACAAAGAAAAGGTGAGTTATACATTGCAGTGAATGCCTGAAAAATGCAATTGCTTTGACAGAGATAATCGCATTGTTTGTTATGCAGGAAAGCATATAAGAATGAATCTACAGGCCAAATATGCATCCAAATGATTGATAGGGCCAAGTTCTTTGTTTCTCTCTTTATTTTACAATGTGGCACAGTAAAAAAAAAGTCGTTTGAAAACCTCTGGAATCGGATAAATTTAAATCATAGCGCTGTTTAAACGCACATCGTTGTAAGTTAACTTGAACAAGCAATTCTTAAAATATGTTGAGACGGTGCTTGTCATGGTGCTGAATTTGCAGTCAATGGTTTCGTTTCTCTTTCCCTGAAAAACATTTTAACACTTTCGGAAAACATTTCCTGAGTTTATTAGCGAGATGTGATAAAACGGCGCTCTCCGTGGTGCTGAAGGAAGCGTTTCAAATGTGGTCTGTGCGCCGTCTTTCTTTAAAATGACGTTCTTGGATTAAATAACTTTACCTTTTAGTATCCGAATTGTTTGTTTATACATCTTTAAAAGTGATTCGTGTTAACAGTAAGAGGGAATGCACTGTTTTTCGTCCGACTCCACCCCCGGACACATTATTTTTTTTATCGTCCAGAATTTCACTGGACTATTTCAATGCCCATCATGAGCAACATGTTTATTTTAAAGTTGGTATGTGTGATACAGTTTTAATAATTGTTTTGGGATTTAGAGCGTAATTAACTCATAATGGTTTATTGTGTTCAAAATATTATTGCAAATGTCTTTACTGTTCTGATGACTATATATCTATAATTTGCCACATGATGTCGCTGGAGACCATGGATATGAATGTTTCCGTGTGAATAAAACTCCTCCTCTGTGCACGGTGAAATAAAATCGTCATCGGCCAACAGTTTATTAGACACACGGTCGTGTTGGGGCGACAAGGGAAGGAGATATTACAGAATAACACAGCTTTGGATGGAAATGCCTGGACAGTGAATACATGATCTACTGGATTAGATTATTTTTCTGCATCAACGATGTATGTGCGACGAAAAAAGGGATTCGCCTGGATTCATGTCGTTGCGCTGCTTTGTCTTTGTGACTGGTCTGCCTCGCAGTTGTCCTATTCGATTTCCGAGGAGGTGAACAAAGGCACCGTAGTGGGGAATATTGCAAAGGATTTAAACATCAACCTGCAGGAACTGGAGGCCAGAGATCTGCGTGTTGTTTCGAGTTACAGTAAGAAATATTTTGAGGTGAATTTACGGACCGGAAACCTCTTTGTCGACGAGAGAATAGACCGAGAAGAGCTTTGTCCTAATGTGGTGAAATGTTCAATCAAGATACAAGCTGCTTTAAACAATCCAATGAATATACACCGCATTGAAGTCAATATTCTTGATGTAAATGATAACTCGCCTTCTTTTATTGAACAAACGCATTCACTTCACATTTCTGAATCACTGTCACCGGGAGAACGCTTTCTCCTCCCGGTCGCAGTAGATGCGGACATAGGCAGCAACACGGTAAAGACGTACAAGCTGAGTCAAAATGAACATTTCTCTCTTGATGTGCAAAGCGGTGGAGAACACGGTGTGTCCGCTGAGTTAGTGCTGCAGAAAGCTTTAGATCGAGAGAAACAGTCGGTAATTAAACTTGTCCTGACCGCTGTAGATGGAGGAAAACCGCCCCGATCAGGAACTTTGCAGTTAATTGTTAACGTGATTGATGTTAACGACAATACACCAACTTTCAGTAAATCTCTTTACAAGGTGCGTGTCAAAGAAAACGCTTCTCCCGGTTCACTTGTTATTAAGTTAAATGCAACCGATGCAGACG